AAAAGGAAAGGATAAATCCATTTTTCAATGATCTAGATAATAATAAACCTATAACCTGATCTATGGATTTCCCATAATTATCCTTATAAAACTTGAAAGTCTCTCTGAGCTGATAAATATTCCTTGTACTTAGTACACGCACGAGCTCATCATCATCGAGTTTCTTGGCTTCAATCGCTTCGTGTAGTTTAGCTGCCTCGATATTGGCTACATTAGAATCCACCAACTCTTTATCATATCTGTAGGATCTCACCAAGCTAACCAATATCTGTTCCAATAATCATCAATTAGCTTCAGAGCCCCCACATGACTAAACAAAAGCACAAGTCTTCTTCTTTTTTCTCAATTGACAAACAAAATAATACCTTTTGAACAGGAAGAGAGACATTGGATATGATGTCTTCTTCAAGTGAGGAGCCAAAGAGAGAGCAATATGCTTGCCTTACGGACACCAGATGATGAGGTGAAGTGGCACATGCTATCTCGACTATCACTTGTAACTGTGTAATGCTTTTTCTCTTTGAATTTAGTGACTCATTCGCGAGCCTCGCGTCTCTTTCGGCTGGATCATATGTCCACAATATCACCGCTTTCTTTACAGTCAGAACATCAGAAAACATCAGAAAAAACCAACAGATACAAACTTACATGAAAAAACAGAACACTTAAGTAACCAATGAATAAAAAATATGCATATGGTGTGTCATTAATTTATTCAGTTGTAAAATGATTTGAGTCGGCTGAGTATGTAGTTTACTGTCCTCATTGTCCATTGCAAATGGAGCTGGAAGAGTCATTGTTGACAATTCTCCTGGCATAGTGCTAATAATGGACTAGATCAAAATGGCTCAATTAAATTCTAGTGCTTCTTCTATTAGTGAAGTTTCTAGAAAAAAAAAATATATCAAACGGCGCAATGCACCTTGGGTCGCTACGGAAACAACCTCCTTATATAATTACAAGGGTAAGGTCTGCATACAACTGACCCCCCAGACCCCAACCTGTTGGGAATATACTGGGTATGTTGTTGTTGTTGTTGTTGTTGAGTATGTAGTTTACTGTCCTCAACAAGGAGTGCAGAATTTCAAGTCATATATTAACATCTAAACAATAATAGTTATGGAAATGTTTATCTAATGAATAAAAAATGTAGAATAATAACCAAGAACATGAGCTGTTGTGACCATTAATGAAAGATAGCAATAGCCATGGAGGAAAGAGTCTGATAGAGAGAGAGAGAGAGAGAGAGAGAGAGAGAGAGAGAGAGGAGTTACCCTGAAATCACCGGACAATTCATCAAAGAGGGAATCAACAAGGGACTTATTGTAAAGCTGTTGATAAGTTTCTCTAATCATTTTCCTCTGGCTTTCATTTCTACGCCCCAGAATACATATAATCGCCTTTTCATCTGTTCCCAGTCCTACGACCCAACAACAAACCACTGTAAAAAAATTATCACCTTTTTCTTGTTTCCCCTTTTTACAAACGCCTTACATATACAATCACGATGAACTTGCAGAGAATTCCGTGATTTTTTACCGTTAGACAACACACACTCACAACAGTCAAAAAAAGAAATAAATAAATAAATACGGTGAGAGAACTGACCTACCCTTCTTCACATTGAAGCAAAGAAAGAACCCATTATTTTTTACCGTAGTTTGTGTGTGTGTGTGTGTGTGTGTGTTAATAGAGAAATGGAAAAATTGTACCTTGGAAAGCTCTATTGAGTTTTTCGGAATCTTCAGCTGGAGATGGGATCACCTCCGGAACTCTAATGCTCGCCATTTTCTTCTTTTTTTTTTTTTCAGTTGATTTTNTGAGTTAAGTTTGAGTAGATTTTTTTTTTTTTTATTATTATTATTTTTTATGTATTGGTTTGGTGGAGAAAATAAGAATTATAGTCGAGTTGAGAGGCTTTCTTCAGTTTCAGTTTGGAGTCTCACTCTAAATTCAGTCAGTTTCAACTCTTTCCGGGCCTCAGGGGCAAAGGTGAATGCGTTGGGTAAATTAAATTTAGTGATTCACCTTTTTACCCCTCCTTTATCCACAATTTCCTTTCAACTCCCTACTTGTTTTTATTACTTATAAATTATAAGTTGTAGTAATAAAAAAATATGATTAGTATAAAAATAAATTTGATTATTACTTTACACTAATGCTAAGGAGTCAACTGTTGATTCCGTTATTTTATTTATTTTTATGTATAATAGTTTAAATCTGGCCCAAGAATGGACCTAGACATATCTCCGAGTCACCGGTTCAACTGTCGGGTCACTGGGTCAATTGTTAAATCAGATTAATTAATTTTTAAATTTTTAAAATTATATATAGTAAATATCATCAAGAAGCGAGAAGAACGCGCCCTTCTCTCTTGCTCTAATTTCGCAGCCCTCTCTCTCTCTCTCACACTTGCTCGCCGTCCTCTTTGATTTTCGCCTTCCACAGCGGCGACTAGGCTTCGCAGGTGGTCGACCCCTGGCCGCTTGGTCTTCATCCCGATGTCGCGCCTCCTCACATCTTCGAGCTCCGATGCTGGTGGATCTACCGTGGTCGGTTCGCCTTCTTTTGCAGGTTCCAGCTCTGGTTTTTCGATCAACGGCCTCCTTGGTGTTGCGGTGGTGTTGGGTGGGGTGTGGTGTAGTGGGATGGGTTCGAGTTTGGCTCGTATTAGGAGAAAATTGATTCAAGGGCAAGCGGTATACCTGGCTTAGCTCGAGCAGGTCGGCATGTAGAGGAAATTTCGGCCTGGCCTCGGCTTGGTCGAGGAAGAAGCTGTAGTAGTCGGGTGGAGGGTTGTCGTAAGAATTTTCAGAGCGTGGGATCTTGAGATCCCATCCTCGGGGTAGCTCGACCTTTTCGAGAATTTTGGTCACTTGATCGGTCGAATAAGAGGAAATTGGGTTCGGGCGTGTGGCTCGGATATGAGAAGAAACCCCTTTTGCTTTATCATCGGCAGTCGTGGGCATCTTGGAGGTCGTCGATGACGCAGCCGGATGGGCCAAGGTGATGGAGGGTTGTCCTACTTGTGTAAAATGCGAAGGAGAAAGAAGGGTGGAGCTCGTGTTAGTTTTAGAGGCCAGGTACTCTAACAAACAGGTAGGCCAGACAACAATCGACAATTATATGCAAGGAAGTCGCGAAATATGGCGAAAAAAAAAATAAGTGGAAAAAAAAAAAAACGATGATGATAAATTAGACTTAAATTAGAGCAACGTACCCATGAAGTCGTCCGACATGTTGCGCGGGTGGGGGTAGCGGCCTATGAAGATGTGCGAGCTCGTCGGGATGCTCTAGGATTGCCAAAATCAAAGAAGAAGATGAGAGCTTCTTAAAGGAAAAAAGAGAGGAGGCAAATGTGGTGACTAATGCCAAGAAGAGGTAAGTTTTTTAGATGAAAGGGGTTGCAAGTCTTGGCCGATCTAGGCCATTCATTTTGATTTTAATCAAGGGTGGAGAATGAAACTTGTGGGAGAAGTTGGGTGATGTCATGTTCTACATTCCCAAGGGAGTGGGTAGGTGAGTATAGGAAAGCATGTACGTCGGGTAGCTCGGCACTTCGCACGTTGGGTAGCTTGGTACTTCGCGCGTCGGGGAGTTACGACGCTCTCTCCACACCTCGGTAGCAGGCCCGGGGATGTGAACTCAGCGGTATAAAGCCGCCTAGTAGGGGTACCTCGACGGCCTGCCTACAGTTGGTAGCAGGCCGGGGTTGGCCACCAAGGCAGGTAGGCTGCGTGACAATCCTAACTAGGCGGCTCTTCTCTAGCTCGGCTTTAGTCATGAGAGCGGCAAGAGGAGAGAGTCATGCTAAGTAAGGAAAGTGAGTCCTTTCTTGTAAGGGAATTTATACCTTAAAGGACTCTAGATATGACAAGATATGGGTTGTTAAGAAGGGGTCTGAGGAGAACTCTTGTCTCACCAGGAATCCTAAGATCAATACACAATTCTAACTATAAAAAGGGACACATGTTCCTTCTTTTTACACAACACACATACACGCATGAAGACATTTCTCTCGACATATACTTGCTGAATCTTGGGCTGACTTGAGCGTCGGAGTATTTTTTGTCCGGACCCCTTCCGGCGTTTTGCAGGTCATCGTAGGCATCAAGGCAGTTCAAACTAGCTAGCCGCGGTTGATAGGCCAAAAAATGTGCGTATTTTAAATATTTAATAATGTATTTTTATGCACTTAATTTATTTGCACATTTATATTTTTTTGACTTATTTATTATTTGAATAGATTTATTTGCTTTGATTATTTTATATTTATTTTCAGCTTATTGGAGTATTTTGTGAACGCGAAGCAATGGACGAAAGTTGAAGCGATCAATTATCGAGCACTCCATACGGGCCCAATTTCAGCCCAAGTTTAAGCTTAGTTGTTAAAATATTAAATCTAAGGCTACATAGTTAATGAGGGGCTGGGGGAATTTGTTGTGCAAGAGATTATTTGGCTAAAGTTTACTAATAAAAAAAACTGTGAGTGGGACTCAATTGGTGGAATTTTTGAAGGCACAAGACATTGGCTGGGAGTAGAACTCAATATGAAAAGAACCCACGCAACAACATTATTTACGGGAGGAGGAGTTTATTTGGGAAAAGAAAAAGAAAAAAAAAAGCCGTGAGCAGTCAAGAGGATTTATTTACGCAAGGAAAGAAAAGAACAGAGGCCAGAAGAAAGCAGACGCACGCACGGACATAGGAGAGAAGAACTACGCACCGTGGAGGGAAGCCGCACTCGCACACGAGGGAGATTATATTTCTCTCTTTTATCTTTTTATTTATTTTTATTACTATGTTAGGCTAGTATTTTTATCCAGTTTGAGGGAATGTTTGCGTACTGAAAATTTCCAATGTCGTTGGAAGCCTTCGATCACGCGCAACCACGCCAAGACATCCAACAGACCCATGAGCCCGCGAGCCGAATCCCTGTCGTGCCTCCTTGCCAAATCTGATTTTGCCACCATTTAATTTGTGGATTCCCGAAGACGGGTAATCTAGTCCGATCCTCTCTTATCTTATTCGTCTTGGTGTGATTTTTTAATAGATCCGATTTTGTTGAGATTGGATCTTGGATTAAAAATTAAGATCTCTCATTTTGGTTGAAGAAAATGTTGGATCTTGATTTTTTTTTATTATTCTTGTGGATAATTGGAACTCTCTAAGTGCCTTTATTATTGCGTTAATCGAGTCTCCTTTTTTTAAGAACGAGCCTTGGTTTAATCTTCAAACCATTGTCGTGTAATCGTGTTGCCATTCAATCTTGTGTTGTTTGAGCCTAGAAAAAACCCTATATGCGACCCTTGTAATGCTTGTTGTTTCGTTGCTGTTTTTACCCTATAAAACGCAATCGAATAATTTCAAACTCTTCTAGTCATTTGAAGTTCAGTCTCTTAGGTTTCATCTAGAACAAGAATCAGATGTTTATCATATATATACTAAAAGTTAAGGCCAAAGTCCGACTATCATGCGTTCAGTTTTTCTGATCTTTCGGTGTTGCTTTTTGTCTGTATTACTCGGTTGTTTCGAACCTTTTTTTGTGATCCGACACTTTTATTGTCTTCAAATGATTTTTAGTTTTGCCTCCTGTGTTTCTAAGGGCACAAAACCATTCAATTATCAGTTTTGTATAAAAAGTTACGTTCGAAATACAATCACTGCTCGCGCAGTATTTGTGAAGAGTTGGCTACAGCTTGTAGCTTAAGTTTGACCAGTTTTCATCCATTTAAATTGATCTTTTGCACTCGAGGTCTTCACGACAAATGTATTTTTGTTCCTTGACTTTTCGTATTTTCAAAAAGCAGTCCAAAATATTTTCTATATCAAAATTTCTATTCAGAATAAATTGGTTGCGCATAGAAGAGTTATCTGATTTTCAACAACGTAGTTTTTATGTTTTCATTCGTCCGTTTTCAAGCTGTTCGACTCGTTTTCGAGTCGAACCTTATGTTTTAGTCTCATGACCATTTTTCAAGTTTTTTTACATTTAATTGAGAGTTCCAAATTCCACAAACTCCTTAATCAATGATTTTTGATTATTAAGTGAGAACTTCAGTTAAATTTCCGAGTTATCAAGATAATTTATTTATAAAAAGTATCTTGATGAAATATAGGTTCCTGATGAGTCGAGCCCTCAAATCTACCGCGTCGTAGTGCATCTTTTCTGTCTTATCCGAACAGGTGGGTGTTGATAAACCTTACTATGCTTTTATTTCTTATAATCGTGTGATTCCATAATTAATGTATGCGTGTAAACCACATGTCGATTGAATTGATCTCTCGTGCATTAGTGTGTACATATGAGCATAGGGTAAGTCGGATTGAGTCTCGTACAATAGTGTGTACATATGAGCATAGGACATGATTAATTGGGTCCCGTGCAAGAGTGTCTTCATATGAGCATATGGCGAGACAAGTGATAGATGTGATCATTTGTATTCATGCTGAGATTGTGTTGTCAATTATTATCTGAGATATATCGCATAATATTTCCACGGGGAGCTTGTTGTTTGCTCACCACCATTATTACAATCTTTTCAAGTTGAGTTGGTGGTTGTGGCGATGACGAGACGAAGGTGGTCTATCTTGTTTTTAAACTATGTTTTAATTTGCTTCCGCTTAGCGTTTTCGAAACTCGTATAGTGATTGGTTTTGAGACTTTGGAACTGGTTGAGAATTGTTACATTTTTCTTTATTGAATATTGTTTATTAACTCTTGATATGGTGTTGTGAAGTATTTTGGACAGTGAAGTTCTGTTAATTCAGATGTGAATGGAGATGAGTAAAATGATTTTTGAGTAATGCCCGTTAAATGATTTTTAAATGAAAAATGTTTTTCGAAAAATGTATTCCTAATATTG